GAAAAGACTCCTAATGTTGAACCATCAAGTGAACGTTTTAATGAAAAAAATTGTTGAGAGGAGCAATCTTCTAAGAGTGTAGATGGGTGTATATCTCTAATTGCTTCAATTTATCTTGTTTTTCTTTGTAGGGAAGTGGACAAGCGAATTGTTCTTCTTCCAGAAATCCGAGAAACGGGAGAATACATTGCAGAGCTGAAGCTTCATCCGGAAGTGACAGCGCGAGTGAGGTTGAACGTGTTTGCCAACTGAATATAAGAGCCTTGTTAAACCATTTCGAGTGATCAACTTTCAAATGCAATTTGCGCTGACACATGGTATGTAAGACATGTACTGATTTTAGAAGCAGCAATGACTTTTTTATTAGCTATATGAGAATAATTCTTGAGTGAAAATGCCGAAGAAGAAAACTTGTTGTAAAATTACCTTTCTACTGAAGGTATCTTTTGTTAGTTTATCAAGCCTAGGCCATGCACCTGTTGTAAAATACATTTGTCTAGCTGGTGCTTCTGAGTTATCGGTCCATTTTATTGAGGTTAAAATAGACAATGGAATCAAGAGGTGTCTAAACAAAACCTTTACCATCTTCTAAAGTGAAAAATAAAGACGTAAGAAGATTTACATTTTGAATGCGTGACAAAAACACTGGTAAGAACCGGGTCATCCGAAGCAGTGTTAGCTTTATTTGCTGACAAAAATGGTTCTCTTTACCTGCGGGCAAATATTCGTTATTAGCACATGAAAATCAGGATGCTTGCTTTCCCTCTTTTGGGTTTCATTATTTTTTTCTGACTCGCCGAAAACTATCGAGGTCTTTGAGAAAAATGCTAGAGAGAGAATTACCATGCTAGTGTGTCTAGTTAATCAATGGATTGAGGGCTCTTAAAGGTTAGAGATGCTACTATAAAATCTACAACTCTCCTGGTGTCTGAGAAGTTCATACTGATTGGTTCGATACTGATGTACAGATTAGTTTCTTTGTTGCACCCATTTGTTCAGACCATAGTTGCTAATTCTCTTGGAAATATCCATCAATTAACATGGAAAAAACCAACACTACTGATGACAGACGGAACAAATGTCCTTTTAAGAAGCTGTTGTGGCCATCACTTTGAGTACTACTTTACCGGCTTTTGTGCTGCTGATACACATGTTTGCTTGCTTATTCGCGGTATCTGCAGGTGCAACTGGGGGAGCTAAAACAGAAAATCATCTCTCTTCGCGGCAGTCCATACTCTTCGTCTCTTCCTGTCTCGTTTTATCAATGTATTTGGTAGATTTTGCTAGCTGTGGATTAAGATGGGTGGCCGTTTCACCTCTCGCTGTTAGATCGGATGCTTTGGTATTCCTCATTTCGCTAGGGGTTTTCTTTCGCCGAAACATGCGCTTTAGCAAGAACTTTCTTCACGGTCTCACACGGCTAATTTGCCCTTCCGGATCCTGCCGGCGGTTTGAGAAAAATAAGCTGAATGGTTACCGGCCCGTCTCTCTTTTCAGGCGCATCGGTCATTCCAAGCCATCTCGTAATTGATCTCGCTCGTCTTGCTTTACTAATGCTTAGTGTCGAGCACACTTGAATCGACGCTCTTTCATCTATCGGCCCTCTTCGAAAGAAAAAAGTCCATGAGATTTACCAAACTTTGGCAGCTGTTCATATCACCAAAAAAGGTGAAAATGGGAGAAGAGAAGTGAAAAAAGTTTGAAAGATGTTGCTGCCCAGGATCGAACTGGGGACCTTTAGTGTGTAAGACTAACGTGATAACCACTACACCACAGCAACCCTTTTGCTCTACATGCCTCACAATTTTTTTTATAAATCCTATGATGTGCACCAGCCCATAACTGCAGCAACGACTATTTTTCTTACTTTAAACACGAAATAATCCAGTTCGATCAGTATCTCTGCGGTCTTATGCATTCTAGACTCCTCTAGTAAAGTTTTATTTGGGCCAAATGCTCTCTTGCGGTGAGGTTGGTTGAACTTAGTTTTAATGCTAAGGGGGTAGTGGTACCACTAGGCTGTAATTGACGTAAATTGTTAGGTGGCAAGATACCAACATACCAATAAACAAACCATGTGCATCGGTACTTCAAATTTGTTCCATGTCTCATTCACCTCACTTTTGAGCCGAAAAATTCGGAGTGTTTCGGAGGGAAATATTCGTCGTCATTCAATCGATCAAACTAATGTACCTCAAACGCGTCTCGTAACGTACCTTATGGAACAAGATGTTGATCTGCTTCCGAGGATTCTTACCGCATACAAAATCGATTGAGTGAGTGACTAATAATATTGACACGATCTTGATCTACGTGTACTCGTGGTTTGGTTTGGTGATATTTGGAAGCGAACATTTAAATGGATACGACGTGCCACACTTGTTCGGCTCCCCCGCCCTGCCAAATTCAATCAATTCCATATTATTTGGACCGCTTGCCCGAACTTCGGCTCACTTCTTTACATACCCCTTGAGGTTATTGTCAGGACATCGCTTCAAGATTTTGCCAACCCTAGGCTGGAGCATCTTACCATAAGAAAAAGAATGCCGACATGCTAAAACTATGAATTTCCATTAATTTAAGCACATTTTGGTCATGATCGATCAACGTGCTTACGACTCATAAATAATTACACCAAAAAAAAAATTCGCTTTTTTTTTCGCAGCAATCTTCATTACTTTTCACCCTGATTCTTCTTAATTTGTCCAAGTTGTTGTACTATAGAGACTCATGTAGCAAATCCAAAGCGGCACCTGTGGGAATGTCGAAACAGTGTGCAACAGCAACAAGCGCATCGAATGGCCGGCGAATACGAAGTACCTAGGGCAATTGAATGATTAGTGGATTCTTTCCCTTTTGCACAGGACAACTCACTTAGCTTAAACACCACCGGCCATTCGAGGCTCGTGTCCCCATCCGACATCGCCGATCGCGACGAGACCCTCTTTTGCATAGTGCAAGCTCAACACATCACGAACGAAAATGTTAGGATTAGGCGGCACAGACACAACGAAATAGAGAGAGTAGAGGCGAGAAAGAGAAATCGATATACAATGTTTTATTCCGATTCACCCTTAAATTAGGGCTACATCCAATAGGAGATTCCACTACAATTAGCACCATTTACCTCTCTACTACATCTCTCAATATCAATAAAATACGAATCCAAACTATAAAAGCTCTCCGACGTTGCCCGTGCCTTCTTCTTGTCGACGGGGAGTATCAACCACACATCGACAGAAAAATCCTCCAATTCGAAGGGCAGCAAAGGTGAGGTTTTGAGGCCGGCCAGCTATGCAAAAGGTTCGGACAGCACCGCCCACCTCCGAAGCGTGAACTGTCTCCACATGTCGTGAATTTCTGGACTGGAATCGAAGAATCTTTCACATACATACATAATGCATCATCTCCCATTAAGTCGCGCGAAATGGGACAGCTAAGTGTGCGCGAGCGATTCGCTCTGCTTAGCCCGAAATTTTCACCTTCGTTTTTTCAAGTGTTAAGATGGCGACGATTGATGCATGGTCGAGTGCGTGCGGGGGTGGCCAAGTTGTGTTGGTCTTTTGGATTCCATGTTGGATTGGGAGCAAATTTAATTAGATTAGGTGAAAAGGGTTAGGAATGCAATGAACCGTCTCGATCGGTAGAGAGACTTCAGCGATCATTAGGTTTAACTAACTTTAATCTACTCGGCCGGTCGTCGTTAGGGTTTGGGGAAGATCGCGAATTTAAGAAAAGGGCGTCTTCATAAAGTTTCGGAGTCAGTTGCTATCCAAACTCTAGTCACACACCATACTAAATATGTCGTTCGTTCATCTTCGATGCACATTCGTTTCACTTTCGCGCTCATTTTAACTCCTCGAGTGACCCCTTTGAAGAATTGCTCTTGTTCCTCTTCGTTTTTTTATTTCCGGGTACGTGGAAAACATGGATTCGAATCGAGCCAATGGGTAAGCGACGAGTAGCTTTCTTCGACGGCGTGAACCGAACGACCCGATCGAATGGCTCTTCAGAAACCGTCTCGGCAAGTAAGTACATCTCGACTTTGTGACTCGTACGCAAACCGTGCCCACAATGCTTACTCACCAATATTTTGCCAATACGTGCACTTAACAAACACCCAAGTCGTGGAGTGAGTGACGGAGAGGCTGTGAGAGAGTGCACTTAACCCACCTCTCTCTCTCTCTCTCTCTCTCTTTCTCGCTGGCCAATCTTGTCCAACGACAATGCTAAGCGAAGACGAGCATTATCGATCGGTTGGTGTAAAGCTTTGGAGGAGGAGGAGTAGACCAAAATGATAGGCAATTAAGGATCGTGGGTCCAACCTGTGGCGGCTTTTCCCCTATAAGCTACGCTCGCATATGGCATGCATAGGAGCTCGTCATATCATCCGCTAGGGTCCATGTGCATCCATCTGTACACACTCGTTGTTATATGGATGATTAGGTGTTAATCCGGATGATCAAGCGAGATCGGAAAAAGGTGGATTTGTTCCATCATAAGTGATTGATTCTACTGATACTACTCTACCAGTCACTGTAAATGCCCCCTTTAGATCTTCGCGTAATTCGGAGTCCCGAGTTTCGAGCACATCTTATGAATAAGGAACCCGAGATAATACGATGCCGCCGTGCGCGACACTTAAGCGATGCGATGACAGATGTTAAGAAGAGATTACCATAAAAAGTAATTGATCGAAGTGAATTCGAGAGGATATCCATATTTCCCTCTCGTCATTAATGAAAATAGACCGCGCGAAAGAGAGATTTTTCCAATTTTTCCTCGGCTTCATATTACGATTATCATCAACAACGGAGAATACCCATCAACCGAAAGAACCTAATCCACCAGTTTTGGTTGTGGTTCTGCTTCTTCTGCCAAACCCTAGCTCGCAAATCTTGCCAAATTCTATCACTCTCTCTCTCTATCTCTCTATCTTTCTTGCTTGTGTGTTACACATTAGCACTCACTCACTCTCCACTTAAAAGAAAAGAGGAATATAAGGAGAAAAAGATTGGATTGGAAAGGGAAAGGGCAAAGGAAGATGCCACCCCCAACAATCACTCGACTTTTCTTGAATCAATGGCAACCATGAACACTAAACCCACTCACTCACTCAAAGTGTTCGGCTTACTCCATCAGTGGCATGCTTGCAGATATAGACATGGAGCCATTGACTATACATAATTTGGATTAGATGACCATAAGAAAAGACTTATCAATCCATTTGGGCCAAATTATGATAAGGGTATATGAATCGAATTGACATGAATATGAACATAGTTTCGTGTACATTGATGGATATGTGAAGTGGTTTTTCTTTTCTTTTTTCAGTAGTGGCAATCGACCAAGGCGGGCGATGCTAGTATGATCGGCTGTTGACTCGTGGCGAATTGGAACTTTGAGGTCTCGCGGCGACGGTGCGCTTGATGGTGGTGATCGTCCTCTGGCGGCGCCGGCAGGTTCAGATCCAGAGAGAGGACGTTGCGGGACTTCTCGCCGCCGCTGACGACGGTGGCTGTTGCCACCGGCGAATCGGTCAGGCTCGTCGTCGTCGTCGCGTTGGCGCTCGAGGCCATCGTCGGAGCGGATCTGTGCCGCCTCATGTGGCCGCCCAAGGCCTGACCCGACGCGAACTCCGACCCGCATATGCTGCACTCGTGGACCTTGTGCTTGTTGCTCACTTGATGAAGACCCTTGTGGTTGGCCATGGGGATGGAGAGGGGCGGGCTGATTTTACCGAACCGCCCCTCGCCGCCCTCGTCTTCTTTGGCGTCCGATCCCACGACCGCCGCCGTGGACGGCTTGATCTTCTGATCATGATCGACCATGGACTTGGGCTTCTTGTGGCTGGCTCGGTGCCCTCCGAGCGCTTGAAACGACGGGAACACGCGGCTGCAAGTCTTGCACTCGTAGACATAGAAACCGGCCCTCGTGGTGGCCACCGCCGCGGCAGTGGCGGCAACCACCTCGGCGAACTTCTTGCTGCTGAAAACTCCCATCTTGCCGCCATCGTGGCTGCAGTCAACCCGCCTCGGACGGACATCGCCTTGCGCCAACAGAATAAGGCAATTCGCCATGTCCTCCTCTTCTTCCTCCGCGCTCGAGTACACGACGTTATTGCCGGAAGACGACGGGGACAAAGCCGAGCTGGCATCCCCTCCTCCTCCTCCGCCTCCTCCTCCGCCTCCGCCGCCGCTGGACGAGCAAGAGGTCATGGAGGCCGCGCCCCCGCCGCCGCCGCTCGGGGATGCCGGCCTCTGGCGCTTCGCGCGCTTACCCTTTTCGGCCACCTGCGAATGACGATCGCGGCTACCGCCCGAGAACTCTTCTGGGTACTCAAGATCCATCACCTCCCGTAACACCACCACCACCACGGCACACCCAGAAGGCGATCGACGGCCGAAACTCCTTCCGGTACGCGAAACGCGACACGAGCGAACGACCGATCGATCGTGGGAAAAGGAAGAGCGAGCGGAAGAACGAGAAGCCTCGTCAATGTAAGATATGGAGCAGAAGTGTGTGAGCAACATACACACGTATATATAGTGACGATGATGAGTTTGAGCGAGACTTGAGTGGTGCGTATTGTATTTGCAGAAGGTAGTGGCGGTCAAACGCCGTCCGTGAGCGACTACCATCGTTTTTACGTCAAGCCCGATCGATTAGAAGGGAGGAAGGTGGGGGAAAGAGAAAGGGAGGGAAGAAAGGGTCGGGGCCATGGCCTGGACGCGCCACTCGCGCGCGTGGCGATCAACCTCGGCTCGCCACGCGCCGACACGTGGCGAGCCCTCGCGGGGCGAGCGAGGGAGCGTGGGTCCCGCTGCTTCCCCCAGTTAGTTTCCGCAACTGTTCACGTAATTTGATATTCCGCCGAACGATTGTACCTGAAAATCAGCTAAAAAAAACGAAGAGAGAAAAATAACCTACGAAACTCCGAATTCCGTTTGCATGTGTCGGCCTAGCGTAGGAATTAAGGATTATGTAGCTGTGAGCACATTGTCTCTCTTCTTAGGATTGTGTAGTTGGAGCCTCATGAATTCCTCTCTCCCGTTCTCGAATTTGTAAATCTGCCCTGTCGACGGTCGCGACCTGATCGACCGTGTCGGCTCGGGGAGAAGAAGAAGGCCGGGCGGAGACGGAGCTCGGTTTCGGGATTAAAGGGGGCGGCGGGTCGTCGGTCGCGAGTTGCGGACGTAGCGTGGGGTGGGGGGCGAAGAGTTTGGGGGGGACCCCCTTTTTTCGTTTCTTTTTTTGTTTTCGGGTCGAAGGGGGGGGACCCGTTTTGGAAGCAAAGGGTTGGTGTGCGGTGAATTTTACGTGAGGAGTCCCGCTTCTTCGTGCTTTGTCCTAATTCTCAACCGGCATTTGGTGCCCAACGGAAAAAAGGGGTCACGACTCACGAGTAAACGCAACCCCCCTGTACAGCGAAGGGGCACCCCGTATTCCACGTTGAAAGCATGCAAAGCGCCCTTCACGCACTGTGTGATTTTAAGTGGCTTTCAAGCAAGCATGTCGACCAATCGAACGACCGCGGAGGAATTGTCCCGATCAGTCACTAATCTGTCGTGCGAATATCGATTCAGTAATAAATTTTTCGAGTTTGCTAATTTATGGCGCGTTTGTTTCGATGAGAAGATTTCGCGATAAAAGAAAATATTTCCCGTAGGAATCATCCTCAAGGAAAATAGTCGGTTTTCATTTGTTCGGTGATTTAGGGAAAATTTAATTTCCTTCTTGCTAGGAGGAGAAGTCTTTTCCCCTCAATTTAAGCTGGCTTGTTTTCAGTCCAATTTAAGCTGCTTGTTTTCGGTCCGTGAAAAGTATTTTCTGTAAGTCGATTGAATTTTTCGTCATCCAAATACCGGAAAGTTGGAAAAACAATTTCTCATACGAAACAGTTTTTCCTTCGAACAAACGAACACCGAGTTCCAAACCCGTGCTCAAAATTCCAATATCGTCCCTCCGGCCGAATCTCGCCGCGCGTATGAATTAGGTAAGCTCTATGAGCATCAATCTTGATCTCATCAGGTCATCACCATACGATCTATCAACACTAGGATGCAAACCATAAAAAAATAAAAAATAAAAAGAAAGAAACTCGGCGAAATTAGTGGAGCAAAAGTCAGAAGAGATTATTAGATGAGAGATGCTTTTGTGGGTGGCAAGGAACTCCCTCCTCATCGCATGTGCTCCCACGACCCACCTCGTCGTATAGTATAATGGCCAAAAGTCGCAATGGCTTTTCCCCATGTTATCCACATACGAAGCCACTACTGATTCTCTCCTTCCTTCACTACTAATCTCTCTTTCCAATTCATACGCCAATGATTCGAATTCGCATTATTGCTCCGATGCGTTGACCACGTAGCCACAAAACAACGTTTCCTCCACTGACCCTTTGGATCGAGCCCTAATGACATTAGATTAGAGGGAGGGGGACGGGGGGGCGAATCTTCCATTCTTATTAATCGCGATTAGGAACCCGGTTTAATCGGGATCGGTCGTTCCTAATCCCCATTCCTCATTTTGCTTAATATGCACGCCCCCGCCCATGTCCCTCCTTTTCCCCCCTCGTCGTTTGTTAGATGGAGGGCGGTCCATTTGACCTATAGTGTTTGTTTTTTTTTAGAGCTTAGAGAACGTGCTATTATTGGCAAAATTACAATTATTGTTAACCAAGGAAATCGATTCGCGTTAGTTGGACCCAAAAAAAAAAGGCCGGTAATGAGAAGAAAGAATAACGTATTGTCTATTTTCGAGCGCGGGTGTTTGTCGGTGAAGAAAATAATGGATCGTTGTGTGGATCCTATCGCGATGGGAGCTTGATGAGCCGACCCACCTACATGTCTTGATGTTACTGCTTTTGCCGCCCCTCAAGCTTAGTCTGGTCTTTTTTGCCTAGTACTGACTCTGATACCATGTGAGATTTTATAAAATTACTGTCGACTGTTCTAAAAGGTTACGCTGTCAGATGAAAGCGTTGTTTAATATTTAATTATTTTAACATTGCCAAAATCAAAGTAGAATGATATTGAGACCGGACGGTCTCTAATCGGCCATGTCATTTTTTTTTATATTTAATTTATAGGGGCCTCTTAAAAAGATGGAGATTTTTTGTTAGGGTTGGGGGTGAGTGAGAGTGTAGTGCAACAGAAATTGGGCAGCTTACCTAAAAATCCTTATTGAAAGAGGCATAAAAGCAACTGCTTAGGCGTTAAACTCCTTCCCCTTTATAGTGCGGTGGCTCGTCATGTATTTTCCGGCTAATTTCGGGTCAATTTCATCTTCTTCTTTTTCTTTTTTAATTTTCTCGTCGTGATTTGGTGCTTCTGATAGAGTAAATTAAGCTTCGACGCACTATGATGTGTGAGGAATTAGCTAAAGTCGTCGCCCGTCGAGGCGAGGAGAGAGCCGTCGGATGTAATCCGACAGAAAATGTTGATGCTGCACGATCAGAGGACGACGAATAAACGACGCGCAATTTAATGTATTTCTCTTACGTGGGACGTACGTACTCTATTTATCAATTTAATTTCAACCATACTCGATGCGCCTCGTAGTCAAATCGCCATATGTTGATATGTGATCGCGCCCTTAGTACCTGATATTTCAATTTGGCCCGACATTTCTCGATATTTGCATGGTCGGCCAACTAAAACTCCATTTGACATTTGGAATAATTTCGACAAAAAAAAAAGGCGGATATCCATGAGAAATCCATTCAGAAAAAATTCGAGGACGGCAACAAAAGTAACGACAACTCCACACGTTGTACCGTCACGTCCCATCCCCCCATAAAAATAAAAATAAAAAAAATATAATTCGAAGTAAAATTTTATTTTTTGGGGGGATATTTTTTTTAATTATCATTTATTGGAGAATATACGAGCCCTTTAACTTTATGGATTTTGCATTTCGGGGCACCGGACGGACCATAAACCGAAAGTGGACAAGAATCCTGTCCTTATTCTCCTGGGTTCTATCCCATCCTCCCACCAGAAAACTTTGGAGCAGTTTTTATCACTTTATGTAAAAGATATTGTCGATAATTATCTGCACGAATACACTAATAGAAATTAATTAACATAATTAAGATATATATACAAATATATATGACATATATATATGATATAGAAACCATGAAAATTTGCGAATTAAGTCGAGTCCAATGGGTCCAATTCTATAATAAAAATCCCTAGCTTTAAGTTCAATCCTGATTCTACCATGAATTTATTATGTTTGAGAAAAAATCGCTAACTTCCATTTTGCCTCCAAATGTACCCCGTCAACCCTCTGGCCAAAAATCGCCACGGGTTCCATGGTATCGGGAGGCTGCTGCTATTCTGTACGAAAGCGCGGGTGTTGATGAAGATACAGCGAATGCCGATGACAGACCTCTAAATTGCCCGGATGTTGATAATTTTGGAAAAAAAAGCACTACAGTTCTTGAACGGTGAGCAGATTTGGGGCTAGGGTGAAAGTATGTGGTTTTTTTTGGGAAAAAAAAATTTGGGAGCAGGATCGGAGTCGGACCTAAAGTCGGGAGCTTTTTTTTATGGGATTTTCCCGACTCCGACGTGGTTGTTCTTCCCCTCACCTAGAGGTGATCAATTCCCTGGCCGGTTCCAAGGCGAAACTGGAAATCGGACCGGTTTCCAAAATTGAGAATCGGAGACCGGACCGATTCCCGATTTGGGCGGCCCGTTCTGCACGCCAGTACCCTCACCCACACACAAAAATGATGAGATTAATGATAGCAATAATAAAGGAGCCGGGAGGCTGTGCAGGGCACGCGCGGAGCGCTGAGAGTTGTGGGGGGCGGCCGCAAGTTGTCATCCGCAGTGTCAGTTGGAACTTGTACAAACTCACTCCAACTCCACTCCCACTCTCCACTCTCCAGTTCACACGTCACTCCCAAAGCAAGCAGCAGCTTCTCAGCCACTCACCGAACCACCACCACCCACACAACACAACACCCCCCCCTTGTTAGTTGCAACCATGTCCCATCCTCAGATATAACCGAAAAAATAAAAAAAAAAATCATAAATACATGAAATAATATAAAATAAAATAAATCAGGGAAAAAAAAAAGAGCCATAAAAAAAACCGCCTCGAATTATGCATGCTATACAATACATTTGCCCTCGACTTTTTTTTTGCCGCGGCACAAAAAATCCCAAATCCGTACCCGTGTGACGAGCACCGTTAAAAATTAGCTTACATAGACGCTAGGAAGCAAACGAGATTGACATGGTACCTAATTAGCTTTATTTTTTTTTTGGTCTGTCGTATCTTTAAACTCCTCCCACTCTCTAACTTTTGTTCTGTCCCTTACAGAGCACAAGAGTCAAACCCCGCATCTGTAATACTAGCATCTCCACCTCTCAATCCATTGACCAACAAGGTCGCATGCCTATTAGAGTGATAATAAAAATGACGTTGTCTTGGCAAAAAAATCATATGACGAAACCATGACGGGAAAGGGTGAATATAATATATAAGTAAAAGTTTAGGATAAATGTATCACAGTGGACATAACTGAATGATTTTTTTTTTTGGGTACTTTTTTGCCCTTTTCGTTTTGTTCTCTTCAATATTATATTTTCCCCCCCTTTTTTCCCCGGTTGTCAGTGAACAAAAACAAGAATCTCAATCCGAAACCCTCTCTCGCTGCCAGCCCCTATGTTTCCTTGGTTGTCAGTGAACTAACTGTCCCTTTGAAAGCGAGATCTGAATTTCCATACCCTTTTAAAAAAAAGCGATAATAATAACAATAATAACAACAAAAATAATAAATTATTGAAAAGAAATATCTAATAAATCATCCACGCGATGACACCTACTTGCCGAGAGAGGTGCATCCACTAGTTTCAGCGCAGTTGTGCTATCCTTTTGCTGATCAGGACGGCTCACACCAAGAAAAGCAAAATTTTCACTCTTTTTATGCTCTGTTTTGCCCCCCCTGTTATCTTCAACAGCCGAAGACCATTTATTGGGGGACCCAAATGAAAGAAATCGAATTTTCCGGGCGAAAAATGCGATTTTTATGGGAAATTTGACTTTTGAAAAAAAACCCATGAGTCTCATGCGACTGAGTGATGCATGCAAGTTGCAACAGTAGGGGAAGTGCACAGTTCAGGGTGCCAAGTTGCTCCAAAAAGGAAAGCCATGAGCGGCCCTTATTTTTCCCCATGACCTTTTTCCCTTTTTTGTGCTTTCTGGTGTTGCATCACCGTGTCCACGAGATGGAAAGTTCAGATATAACGTGTGGACACGGTGAAGTTCGGTGTGTCCACAGAGATCAGTCGAGGCGAAAGTTCGAGTACCGTGTGATGTCGTGGAGAATCGAATGAAGTACCGTAGGAAGATTTAGGACATGTTCAACTCTGATATGACACGTTTGCTGCTCTCGAAGAGAACCGAGAGCATTCTCGAAGTGCTCGGGCATGAGGCCCCATCGATATGATAGGTTTTTGTAAATGGTTTATTTCTCGTGTGTACCGTGACTTCACTGTTCGGTCGCAAATTGCCAAGTCAATTTGCTCTCCTAAGGTGTAAATTCAAAGGCTCGAGGAACGGAGGTGTCGAGTATACGGAGGCTCAAAACGCACGCCAAAGGGGGAGGCGTACAATGGCCTCGCCTTCCGCGGAGCCAAGTAATATACGCCGCACTACTCGTGCACGCGCAAGCGATGCGGAACTGGATCTCTGCCCACTGTGTCTTCTAATCTCCAATCAAGCCGTGCGCTGTGCATGTATGCATCAACTCGGTCACTTGTCGGTCACATACTTAGTGTGAACCCATCACGGCCGACGGTACAAAATCGCATCAATTCAATCTTCCTTGTTTCAAAACTCAAAAGGCAATCCTAGGCTTGAAGGCCCTCATTGTGTTTCCTTGGTTTTTCTCAATTGCATATTAGAAAGGAGCTATGCATCTTGGGCATTCTCCATGCCCAAGTGCCTTAAGTCTTTCCCCTCCATCCTTTGCCTTAGACGTCACGCAAAAGCTATCCCTCATCTTTTCAATACTCGTTTGCATACGCAAGACAACTAGACAAGACGCTCTCTCAACCGGTTGGACTTTTTCGGGGGAATCCTTTTTCTTGATTATCTAAAATCCACATTTCATTGACTCAAACCGCTCATACCTCATCCGAGAGAGACACCCAAATGAAGAAAAAAGAAGAAAAAAGACTACACAATGTAATATATCCAATCAATAGCAAGTTACAAACTCGACGTCCACATCGTCGATCCGAGCGATGCGAAATGGATGACATCGGTGCGAGCTCTTGATCATTATCCAGAGAGATAGTTTTGTTAAAAGATCTTTGCACGCTTGCATGATTGAATATAAAGTACGTAGCACACGAGGTCGAAGCTTTCTCTTCCGGGAGCTGGCGAGCCTACATAGTGGAGGATCATCCCTTCGCAGCGCCGCAACGGGACAAATAACGGGAGACACGCTACCCTACCTCCAGCTTTAATGGATTCGCCTTCTACTCGTTAGTTGAAACCTTAGGTCGCAAGTGGCGGCGAGCGATAGTGTGTTCAGTACTAGCTTGTAGGGAGTGATGTGGGTGGGAGGAACTGCTTGGGAGTTGCAACCAATTTACTCAATCCAACTTCTCTTGCAACCACTCTCACCTCTTTGACTAAATGAATCAATTGCTCACTTCAAGCCTAACTCCTAATCTTGCAACACACTCCATCACCCTTTCTCATCTCTAAACCAATCCATTTTAGTGACGCTTTCAATTCGTTAGTGCCCTCACAAGGACCATTTGTGTTTTGAAGGGCAATTTGAACGGTTCACAATGGTAGGTTTGGTTCTAACGGATCAAGCAAATAAAACTCGTACAACGAAATCGAGCTGTAGAACAAAATCTTGGTATCGGAGAAGAGCGTTTCTACGTCGTTCAAGGATCTCGAACCCTTCGCAACCCCATCGGCGTTTCAAGTCACACCTAACGGACCTCGTACCCTAGAAACTTAGAAACTTTCCTTCGGAAGCATCTCTCAAGACGTGACTTTTTACCACGTTTCCTTTACTTATATATGGGCTTAACATGATGGTAGCCAAACATTAACGAGGCCTGCGTAAGTGGTTTTTTCGAGCCATGGCATAGAAGCAACAGATCTGTAGATTTTTCATGATGCTGAACAAGTGACCAAGCTAACGTCAAATCCCAAACAGCCACCGAAATCTTGGTTCGCCGACGGTAGAACATGTATTCTTTTGACGTCCGTTTAGGTTTCACCCGAACTTCATTTCGACACTTGGAGGTTTCGGTGAAAAGCGAGATATAATAACCACCGTCACACAACAATATCAAATGTCATTCACCTGATATGACACGACTTAGATCCATTGTTTCGTGATTAATAGGAAACTTCAACATCTACAAATCACATAGTAGCCATACACGACCAATCGAGACCAAAAACCATACGATAGGGTCGTCTTCACAATGCCATGTTACACCCTTGGAACAAGGAATGACACATCACTCTAGGAAAGGAGGTAAACACACAGAGGACAGCAAGAACGCTGAAAGCGAAGGATTAGAGTGGAGTCAAACCCACCACACCTGCGCAATAATCACAGAAAGAAATGAAAGCAACTTTAGAATAACAAAGGGAAGGTCGTAGTAAAAGGAAATCAAGATTCTGAAATGCTACTCTCACAACAAGCGAATGATATTCAGACTTGAAATTGAATGGAAAGATGATTGATTACATCAACCTCCATAGGGAAATATTTATCATCTAATGCCTTTTGGCTCGTGCTTCCGAAAGGCATGAGTATTCATGCTGATGCAGGGAAGGAACATAACACTAGATATAAGCTTCAGCGAAGATAGCTCGTCCCAGAAAGATCACTGTTGGCGAACATAACAGTTCAAAATCTAGCTCGCTCTCTATAATCCCCATCCTTTGCATATGAAGTTGTAAACTATATCAATTGCCCCAGAAATTCATCACTAGAACTAGACCTGTTATTCATATTCTATTGAAATGTAAATTTACATACTTTATGGAATCATTAAATAACAGTCCTGTCCATTTAACTTCCCCGCACTAAAAACCCTACCAAAGTAAGCTAGGTAGTTAAATTTAGCTAGATATAAGAACAATAACAGAACATAGTTTTCACAGGCGATCTCGAAAACAGTTCAAAGAGACTGCAAGATGAAGAAATGAAGATGCTCTCACGGGAGATATACTGAGACCCAACAAAAGACAGAATGCCAATATGGTCATTAATATAGCGTAACATGGAAACCTGGGCCTTACCACATGCCAATCTCCCGCCTGCATTGCCAGTGGTTAGACTCAGCTCATGGCCACCTACAACAGATGGATAAATGGATATGAACCAAAACATTGAAGAGAATTAAGAAGGGGAGACAGAATGATGGAAAACAACTGGATGCTCTGTTTCTTGTAGAGAAAATTTTTTTCTAGCTGCTTCACTAAACAGAAGAATGACATAACCCGCAACCAAAAAAGTAAGTAGTCCATCTTACAACAGAGTTACTTTGTCTTTAACTTACTATGGCAATTCCAAATGAAAGATTGTAGGATTCTCTATAGGCTTTGTAGTTCTATTTAATAGATTGACTATTTGGGACAACTTATCCTGCAGTAGTTCTTTTCCTCCATCTTTCAAAATATTAACTTTGTAAGCATGAAAAGCCTTAATAATCATTCTTAGTACTTGTTGTTGATTGAGTTTGATGATAGCCATGGACATACTTTAATTATAGTTATATGAATGAGGATCGTCAATTTTAGCAATGTAGCTCATTCACAGGAAAAGAAACCATTTGCTCTGACAAACAAAAACACTTGCTGGGTGAAAGATATGCTACAGAATAAGAAACATCAGAATGTTCCAGAAGAAATTATGGTCCCTATAATCCACAGAACAAACTCCAGTGGATGATCAAATGCCTTAAGGCATTTCAAAACCAGCTGCAGAATTGCTGGATTCAAAGGTGTTAGTCATTTCAAGAGTTTTCTCTCATTTTTCGTCTGTTTTGTGATTGAATTTATCTCTCCAACAACATTGACTGCAAGTATGAGGATGTGAAACAAGGTTGTCCGCAATGCTTAGATGCTTACCCTTTCCAAGGTCGTCCGCAAGTTCATGAACAACAAAAGCTCTTCCAACTACAGCATTTGGACCACTCAGTGGTATCTGGACACTCGACCAATGATAAAAGTTAACAGTGCCGAGCAATCAGAGTTTAAAAAACTGCAGACAAGCTAGAATCCAGTCATGCATGCAAAACATGGACCAGTAATACAGAAAGAATAGTAAAATTCCCAGCAGTACCTGTGTATCAACAATTGTTGCTTCTGCCACACCTGTGCATTCACAATACAAAAAGCCTCCATAAACAATATCAATATATGAAGAACACAACAAACTACAGGCATTTGTGCAATCGTTACCATCGGCATTGGCAACTATGTTTCCCAGGTCACCCGCATGACGGACTTCATCTTCAGGAGCCCCATGTGTCATTTTGTTTGGGTTGAAATGTGGTCCTACAGTTCAAAACATGGAGTGGACAAAGGCGAGAAGGTCAAAGATGAGAATTGTCATCAAGTAGATCATTTCAGTTCGAGACATGTACAATTACCTGTTGAGATGCATCCATTGGTTGTGTCCCCATACTCATGCTATACCAAGAAAATGATCAAGGAAAAACACGAATTTATACCAAAATGTACGCTTTTGGTTTGCCGAATAAATACAGAATGAGAGATAACTTACTAAGTGGAACCCATGAGGTCCGGGAGTTAGCCCGGCGACACGAACATTGACTGTCGTGGGGCCTAAATAACGCAAGCGGGTTAGGATATTGCTCTCATCAAGAGCTATTGAGCTTCCAACTAAGTTATGCATAACCAATGAATTCCAGACAAAATCTCGGTCTCAAAAGAGTGAGCATTCTAATTTCAGAGACCGGAACAGAACATGAGCCTATCCGTTCGTTCGTTCATAAAAGAGGCCTTTCAGCAGCTAGAAGTCCCCTTATTGAATTTCTACAAGAATATTCAGTAGCAAACGACCAGCCCAGTTCCAAACCAGAATCAAATTTGAAATTTGAACCAACCATACTGCACCACTCCTCCCCAACTATCATCAACCGCAAAATGCAGGCCAAGAATACCAATGCTCATTGTCGTAATTACAAACTAACAGCATACGATAATCGGAGCGGAGCTCCCAAGAATGACACGACCGCACGAAACAAAAAGAGCCCGGGAAAGTAATCAAGAGAAGACACCCAGAACGGACCATCGCCTTCCTGGGTGAGGGTGACGACGCCCTCCACGCTGGAAGCGCCCTTCAGCACGGCGACGGCCTTCTTGGCGGCGGCGACGGTGAGGGGCTTGGGGGCGACGGCGGAGAGGGCGAGGGAAGCGGGAGCCGGCCCGAGAGAGACGCCGCTGAAGGCGGTGACGAGCGCCGGAGGGCTGCCGAGAGGAGAGAGGAGGAGGGCGTGGGCGGCCATGGCCGCCGCTGCAGCTTGCATCATCGCCAGAAGAGAGGAGATAACGAAGGGAGAGCTCTCACAGTCGCTACGTAGTCCTATGGCTCTAGAGGCCAATAAGGAATGATTTTGAAAATATTTTTTAAAAATTAATTTATGTTTTTTGAAATAATTTGTCAAAGAAATATTTTTTCATTATCGATAATAATTATAAATGATAAAAATATTTTTTGATTAATCATTTTTATAAATGATATGAGCAACCATTTTTAAAAAGATGTTTTTCAAATCATTTGTATTTCATAAAATAAATGGAGCATAAATCTCATATTATTTTATATAAGTGTTATATATAAGATTGATAAATTGAATTTGAATGGACAATTTACTTTTGATTGGTTTATTGCACCGTACATCATTATTGATTTGTATAATCGTTGCCGAATATACTTTTCCGCCTTAGGTGGGTTTTAGATTTTTTTTTTCTTTGTCACAACTCAGTAATGGGTTCAAGATGTATTTATTTGAGGGAAAACTGTTTTCGAGAAATTATTTTTCAATTCTCCAGTGTTTGGATAAAAAAAAACTGATCAATCTATGGAATTTTTTTTTTCCATGGACCGAAAATAACTAGCTTATATCTAGTAAAAACCACTTCTCCTTCTCAAACTATTCTCCTTGAAAATATGATTTTCATGAAAAATATGTTCCTTTATCATGAAATTTTCAATGAAACGAACGCACCCTAATTAATTTCAGTTTGCCAAACTCCAGAGAGAGAAAAAAAAATAAAAATACTGTTCCATCGTAACAACAATAACTCCACTCTTCAAATGATCCAAGAAAAGACAAAGAACTCGAACTTACATCTAGGAGAAAATTGGTGATTTGCAACCACCGAATATTTTCTCTACTTTCTCGAGGGACGAAAATATATATCTGATCTCCGGAAAGAAAAATAAATAAATACACGGACTTATACTGTTTCGTACAATCGAGAAAATTACAAACTTTTATTTTATTTTATTTTATTTTGGTCGAATACAACAAACTAATTACTTGAGAGAAAATGATTTTCCACCGTCGACTTATCCGACGGCGGTAGCGACAGCTTTTTTTTTGTACAACAAAAGATTCACAAGCAAAATAGTTGACTTTCTCGTCGTTTCTTGAGGGGATCTAACGGGGGGTTGCGTTGACTCATCCTCTTCTTCGTCCATCCCACCTGGGCCTGTCCTGGGAGAAAAAGTCAACCGGGTGTCTCCCCGATGCTGCGAAGCTTAACCACGTCCATGGATTGTTTTTTGATTTTCTTTCATTCTGTTGCAGATGAGAGCTGTTCTTCAAAGAGTTTTAGGCACACGGAAAAGGCGGCAGACGCGAGGTCGGTTAGGCGGGTGATGATGGCGGCGGCGGCGGTTTGACTTCGAATCCTTGGTTCAGCAGCGCCCCCGTGATCCAGGGCTTCAGGTTGGGGAGGGTCACGTCCTGTTCGCTCTCTTTGACCTGACATTGTTGTTGACACCAGGAAACAGATCAATCAAGCGCCTTGATCAAGATGGTATAACAAAGGGAGGAGAGTTTGAGAGTGTCTAGTGAAAGCTGGTGATTCCTACTGAGCGAGCTCTTCTTCTTACGTTGAGAGTGAAAGTGAATACAAATCTCTCTGCAGCTGCGGCCAGGTTGGAGTTCTGAACATGGAAGCTGGTCAGCGATTCGAGGGCCTTATACAGAGACACGGCCACTCCGGCTCCCTTGTGGCACACCAGCCTCACGTAGAACCCTCGTTCTTCCACCTGGAACACGTCCATCTGAGTAATTCACAATGCATTTTTGAGTGAGTGACACTTCGGCCAGCGCTCGCACATGGTGGAGGAAATGATGAAGTAGAATAGCATCTGTTCGATCGAACCTGCAGAATCTTCCTGCATACGGGATGGTTGCTGTTCGCGGCTTGAATCCTCTTCGTGGTTTCATTTTGCGCTTGGTGCCTCTTCAGTCCCGTGCCCGCCCACGATGCCTCGAGGCTGGCGATCTCGGCTTTCAGCTTCTTAGCTTGCGTTTGGAGTTCTTGCACGTAGACCACGGCGTCCCCGACTATTGAGGCCTTGTCCATCTGCCCACAAGAAGAGATTTTTGCAAATTCTATGAGCCACACACCAATATGTCTTGCTTGCATTTTTCTCAGTTGTCTGCCTTACTAAACGCAACCGTTTGTTCATAGCTAAATTGGCAATACCTCATAATCCTCCAGTGAAAAAAATTGCTCGACGAAAGTATGATACGACATGATACATACCTTTGTTATGTTAGGAACCAAGGAACGGAGAGCGTAGAGCTTGTCCTTCATCCGGCCCCTCCTTCGCCGTTCTGAGATTAAAGTCCTTGACCTGTCGGTCTTCGTCCTCTTGGTCGGTGTTGTGGCCGTCGCGGTGGTGGTGGTGGTTCCTGATGAATCCTCCCCATCATTCTCATCTTCCAGATAATCCTTCACTTCCTCTCCAAGGATCGGCAGCGAGTCGAGAACAAAATCACAATTGATAGAGGAAGTGTGATCATAGCCAAAAGCATTTCCTGCAGTTGGCATGACTTGCCCACCACTCATAACACCATCAAGAAGGTCAGACTCATAACCCAATTTCGCAATAGGATGAACACTCTCTCCTCGGATCAGATCGATCATTTGGTCGAAGTTATCTCCTTCGATGAAGTACGGGAGCTCGAAGTCGCTGGAGTGCATCGGGAGATTTTTGGATTGATCGATCCTATCCATTTCTTTATGCGACAAATTGTTTAAGAGAGGCCTTACGCTCGGTGGCTGTAGGAGTTTGACAACACTTATATATAAGTTGTCAATGTGAAAGGAATCAATAGAGCTGCTGATTCGGAACTTCTTACATAAAATACTGCAAATTGATTGACATCACTTCAGATAAATTAGTAGTTCCAAAACAATAGTTCCGAGTTGATGTATGAGACAATTGACATTTTGTGGATGGAAAACATTGTAGCGATAGATCCTCCGAGAGCGAAATCCCGCCACCCCACATTATACTAAGCTCGATAATATTAGAATAAATTATTCTTCGTCTGCGAGTATAAACTATAATAATTGAGATGATTGGCTCTTCCATGGATGAAAGCCGGTTCATGACAACAGAACATTGTAGCTTATGAAAGAAGTCGGACACCATTTAAGCTCGTGCTGTTGGGCGAAAGAGATGGAGTGTCTGAAATTGCGAGCCATCTCATGTTAAAAACTGATCAAAATCACTGACAGAGAGAGCGTCATAAGATAATCTTGCACATGGATTAGAGCAGAAGAAATAAAAATAGTGAAAATCCGCAAGCTAGACTGATCTAAAAGGGCGTGATCGAATCGTTAAAACTGGCTCTTAACTGTCTTATAGGGGAGTCCGTCTTGAAAACATGGACTTCTGGTGGGGTTAAAGCTTCTCTATAATGCCATATGCGAGCAGAGGAGGATGCTAAACGTGAAAAATGGATACACAACAATCTGTTAGTAACCAAATGGACTATCTTTCTCTAAAATCTGATGTTTGGATAACTGAATCGACTTGAAAAACATAATTTGAAGGAGTCCTGTTGATTTTTATGAACCTTATTATCCTGGAATTGCATATCAGGAAGCTGTACAAAATAACATCCATCACTCACAATGTCACGGACAGCATCAGAATTCGATCCAGACGATGGTCGGTGTTGAAATGTCGATTGACATAATTAATTTAATGGTACTATGCAGCTTCGTCCTTATGGCTCTTCTTTGACTGATCTAGTTTACCTATGAAACAGCTTGGAGCAAACTCTGACGACGACAATTACATGTGAAAACTCCAGTGCGATGATTTCAAGAACATACAGTTTTCCATAGATGGGAAACGGATCTTATTCCTTTAATCGATCATTTGATTCCTGATGTCACAAATTGATATATCTTTGTTCAACCGCGCCGGCCTAAGAAAGAACGGAGGGTCCCTGCTCATCAGCCATCATTTCGGTTCTGTACATGTATGAAATAAACAGCCCGCGATAAGGCCATTTCCACAGGGGAATCTGTGACAACATAGAATTGAATTCATTTTGTCTTAAAGTTATGTGATAATCTAGTAGGCCTAATTTAATAGTGATCAAGTTAATAAGCACACCAGAAGTGTGCCCAGAAGCCAATCAAGACAGGCCACCACATGTCCGAATGCCGAGTCCCACGTACCCGGTCCTAAATTATTGGATCGTGGATGTCAAGGATGTGGTCTGACCTCATCTATCCAAACGTTAAACATAAGTTTTAGTGACCTCAATCCTGCAATTTCATTGATCAAGACTGTTCAATGGAAGAGGCACACAGCGCACAAGGCCAGCGAAAAACAAACTGGGCTTTTTCACCGAAACAAGAATGGTCCCTAAAGGAGCCCAAGACAGAGTGAGCCTCAATCAGATGCGATCTTGAAGAGGCCTTTCTGTGATCTGCTTTGGGTTTGATCAGTCCCATCTCCAAGAGGTGACAAGAAGAGACACCGGCTTCGCTTCACCGTGGTGCATTCCGAAACTTCACAATCACAATGTCATGGCTTTTGCTGTGCCTGTGTGTCACTTCCGAGTCACTCTCTCTCTCCCGATCCCGCAATTTGATCGTCTTGTCTGACGGAGTCGACGGCAGGTAACAATACGGACGATTTTCGCCGAACTGGAGTGAGCATGCGAAGCACGAACCCGCCATAAACGTCGATAAGGGGACAAGTAGTCAAACAAGATATTCTCAGTGTAGCACAGCAGGCGCTTGAGATTGGAAAGTCTTCTGTATGTCAACTACGCAGTTCACACTAATTCGGGAGTCCATACTTCGACGAATCTTTCTTCTTTAAAGGTCCTTGCCGTGTACCAGATCGCTTGGCAGAGCACGGATGACACGACGAGGTCTCGAGTTTTAAGCCTTAGATTGCTGACAGGCTTTCAAGGGTTCAAGAGTCACTGCCTAGTAGTTCTTTGGTTACATGTGACATAGGCGCGAGGGATGCGCCAGATTCACGTGGGCCAAACTCTCAAAAGGGGTATATTCTCGAATAAACCATGTGAGGGAGTAATAATTTAGGGCGTATCCTGATTTAAGAATCACGTCAACAATCAAAGTGTTACTTGGGATGTTACAGAGTCTCCCACTTCTCCCGACTGATATGTAACTTAGTCTTTCGCAAATTCTCTCACTTGAAAGAAGTGACATCCAAGTCAGTGTTGGCTCTTACCACTCGTCAATACTCGCTCTAGCTGCATCTTGTCCAAGCCCTCACTAGCAATCACGCCTAACCTTTTTCGGATCGGCAATCATACCTGCTATGATATCATTTGTAACATTTGACGGGATCCATGTGGGGTACATCCCAAAAAGGAGTACTCCAAAGAATCATATAAGGTGGTTACTAGTTAAAAGTTATTATTGACTTCTAAATTACTTAACATGGCCTTTTTTCCATTTAACGTGGGACTTGAGATGTCACGTCACGTTTGATGATATTTCCACATTTCCACATTTTAAATCACTACGTGCATGCTTGATAAACCAATAACACTACGATTTATTCCCACCCCATTTGTCATCGTGACGTGTTTAACTAGTCGCATCTTGTCCAAGTCCTCCTTGGCAATCACACCGAACCTTTTTTTGAATTGGTAATCACACATCTATTAAAGGGAGTCCTACTATGATATCACTTGTAACATCCGACAGAATTCACGTGAGGTAAATGTGTACACTAAACAATCATATAAGGTGGTAACCGGTTGAAAGTGATTGTTGACTTCCAAAATTACTTAGCGGGGCCTTTTTTTCCATCTGATGTGGGACTTGAGATGCCGCATCGCATTTGATGATATTTCCACATTTCCGCATTTTAAATCATCACATTCATGCTCAATAAACCAACGACGCTTAGGTGAGAGAGTGTATTATGCACTGTATAATGATATCGACCAGATGGACCGGATTGTGATTTTGCTTGCACTTGACAGGATATGCTAAACGTTGAGGCAGTGTTATCGGCCAGGAGGGGAAAATGCAGGATGGTTGTGTATATCTTAATGGAAATCACACAGAGAACATACAAGAAACAGAAGATCCTGCTCGTGTCATGCTTCCTGCAAACATAGAGAGAGAGAGAGAGAGAGAGAGAGAGAGAGAGAGAGAGAGAGAGGCTTTAATATAAGATAATATAATCCAAACATCACACTTGCGGTAGATACTGATTCTGATTTGCGGGAACCACACAAACCCGACAAGCAATGGCCTACTTTAGACCTTCCGGTGGTTGGCCATACCCGATCTCCTCCCCTACCCCTAACAACTCCACACTAATGCTTTGGTTTGATCTCATCTCATCTCTCTCTCTCTCTCTCTCTCTCTCTCTCTCGCTCGCCTCACACATACATACACAGTCACACTCTAGGCTGATACTATCTTGATATCAAAGTTACAGCTTTCCTCCTATGTCTAGGCAACAATCTTGGAGAAAGCAAGCTCCTTGCTTGTCATGAATCAAAAGGGTAAGCATAATTTGAGAGGCAAAAGGAAGAAAAAAAGGTAAAAGTGACAAAAATCATCACCAGCAACACTAACTGAGAGCTTGCAGCAGCTCTCTGATCCTCCCCTTCCTGGGTTAACTTGGAATTCTCTCTGTTTTTCTTTTTTCCTAGATCAAAATCAAACCTCTGTACAGATGCTACTTGCAGTTCCTTCCTTCCCCCCATCACTAATTGTGTGAAATGGCAAATAGAAACTATAGATTAGTGAGATCTCCTAATATAGTAGGTGGGTTTCTGTCAATTGAGAAGAACCCTTTGGTATTTGGGCTCTGTAGGTGAATCAGACCCCTCGAAGTGGCCTCTTTTTCTACTCAACCTCCCGCAATTGGCAATGCCACTGCAGGCATTCAGGCCCGCCAGAGAGTCTTGGAGCAGAAGCGGTGGCACCGCCATCGGCGACGGCGGCAGATGCTGCGGAGGAGAAGGGATGGTGACGGGCGGGATCTCAAACGACTCGAGCGGCGGCGGAGGGTGTCTCCACTGAGGAAGCGGCCCTGCGAGGAGCAAGGTCTGAAGAAGGGGCCCAGCTTTCATGACGGCCTGCAGGAGCTTGCCCTTCTCGGGCAGCGGCTTATCAGGCACTAGCTCGAAATCCGGCGCCGAACTCTGCGGGACCACTGTCATCATCTGCGACAGGAGCGGCGGTGGCTGGTGCGGCGGTAGCGGTGTTGTTGTTGTTGGTGAAGTCAATTGAGGTGGCGGAGACGAGACAATGCTCTCATCACTATCTGAGGAAGAGAGGGCGTTGTTGAAGTCAATGCCTCTTCTCGGTTCATCCTCAATGCTCGAGACTCCGGAAAGAGGACCTGTCAATTGCTGCCGCTGCTGAATCAAGAGCTTCTCCAAAAAGAGCTTCTGGCACTTGTCCTGAGCCTCATCCCTTTCCCTGATGGCCTTGTCGAGCAGTTCTCTGAGCTGAATCAGCTGGTCATCTCTCTTCCTCAGCTCCTCCTGGACAAGCGCCCTCGTGTTCTCTAGCTCCACAGTCGTGCACAGCAGCGACTGCCTCAGCTCCTCCATGCTCTGGCTCACCAAAAAAAGAAAAAAAAAACAGAGGAATTAAGCAACCACAAGCGAAATCAACTCAAAGCCACGCGCACTTGCACCGAACAAAAAACACTTCATTTTCAAGAAAGAGTCGCATTGCACACCTTTCCTTGGCAGCACACAAATGCCCAGCTGAGAAGAGGGTTGCGCTGGCAGTCCATGCTCTTTGCTCAGTGGACTCAAAGAGAACTTCAGACAGAGAGAGAGAGAGAGAGACAGAGACAGAGCAGGGTACAGAGCAGAAACAGAGGAAGTTGAGTGGGAGGGGGGGTTTATGAGTAGGTTCTTTATTGGGGGTCTTATAAGGAGAGGCTCGCCTTCACTGTTTGCTTTTTGGCTTTTGGCCTCTGTAGCTTTCTTCACCCTCTCTGTCTTTTGCTTTTTGGCTCCTTAAACTAATACCAAATTCCCAATTTTTTTCCTCTTTTTCTCACTAGCAAGGGGTTGGAAAAAAGGCGCACAAAAGGCCAAACCTAGCCGCACCCAATTTCTACAAACCAATACCCAACACCATCTCTCTCTCTCTGGTATGGGAGTCATGGATAGCCAAAGAGTCATCAGTCTCCTTTTGGGTACAGAGTCTGTGTGGCTCTCTCCAAGCACCGAGCTTGGCTGTGGGAAACCAGAGAAAAAGCAGAGCAAAGTTCAAGTCGCTGCTACGGTCTTTAACCCCGGCGATACGGTCGCTGCTCTCTGTCCAAAGCGACTCTCGATCAGCATCATTGCTCTGTTTTGACACTTTCGCGACTTCGCTCTTGCGTTCGGGGGCCGTTTCGTGTTCAAGACTGTTAGACACTCGGAAAGCGAAGAAGAGACTCTTGGTGACAAAAGACAAACATATTATTAAACATTTTCCTCGTTGAAGATTTGCTCTGCTTTTTTTACAAAAATTCCTTTGCTATTGAATCTTTTGCTTTCCCCCAAGAGGGCTGCTAGTTTGAACCTTAAGGGAAAAAGAACGGATTGCGATCGCTCGTCACGGCTCGATAAACAATCCCACGTGACGGGTGGAACCAGCCCGCAACCCCCACCGAAATTGCCCGTGCCGATCACGCGACGGTGGTCGATCTTTGTCTAACGCACGAGGTGACGCACCCGACCAACCCGAGAATTTTTATTGGACAAGAATACATAGGGATGAAGAAAAGTATGTGTAAAAATTGGGGAAATGGACGAATCGAATTCGTCTTTGAATTTTCAGGGATTAAAAAAATTTCTAATGGAGAATGTTAGTTTCCTACGAAATCGCATTGGATTTTTTCTTTCTTTCTTCTGGTTTGAAAATGAGCGTTTTTTTTCCTTTTAGTAGTTTATTATTATTATTTTCTGAATTTTTTTCCTTTTCTTACTCCCTGCGAATACGCATAGAAAGTGGTCCCCAGCACAAGGCCCCAATTTTTTTTTTATTTTTCTAGTCAACCTTTCAAGAATAATACTTGCACTAAGACTAATTTGTAACATTAGCATACTTAATGTCGCGATAAATTTGAATCGGACATTGAATATGATCCACTTATGTTAACGTCCAGATGCATAACAATGTATTTGTAGCCTGTCATATCACTCCGCATATAAATAAGTTGCTAATTTTGGGGTTAATACCACGAAAAACCCCAAACTGGTACACATGTGATAAATTTACCCAAAATTAATTTTTTATCCATCAAAAACTCCAAACCGGTACATCTGTGACAAATTTACCCTCCGGTAGTTTCCGTTAAATTTTACTATCAAATTACTTTGTTAAATGACACGAGGCGATTAACGGATATACCAGTTTTGGGTTTTACCCTCTATACCGGTTTGTGATTTTTTTGGTATTAATTCAATTTAACGGAAACTAACGGAGGGTAAATTTGCCACACATGTACCGGTTTACGGTTTTTTGTGGTCAAAAAATTATTTTTGGGTAAATTTATCACATGTGTACTAGTTTAGGGTTTTTGGTGGTGAAGAAATTAGTTTGGGGTAAATTTGTCACATGTATATCAGTTTGGGATTTTTAATGATATTAACCCCTAATTTTATTCATTCTGCAATAATATTTGTTTATTTCTTGAGTCATTAAACTTAGTTGACTGTTTATTTTGCCCACCAATTAGATATGTCGCCGAAAAGATTGATGTTGTGAAGAGTATTATCCCCAAAATATTCTTTGTCGATGACACTATTTTAATTAAATTTTTAATGATAAATGGTGATTCGCATCCCTATTAATAATAAACAAAGAAGTCATACATACAAAAATAAAGTAAAATATATTAGGTAGGATTCTCTTTCACTTTGAAATTCGAGGGAATTTTTGTCTTTTTTCAATAAAAAAAAAGAAGAAGAAAAATTCATCAAGACCAAATAATCTTCCATGCATCCATTGGCCATCTCGTATTTATTTTGGAAAAGGAGAACAATCGGTAGAATATATATTAAACTATACAGACTTATATTTTTCGAAACCCTATTAAATATAAATCATGAGTAACAAAGTCCCTAAAATTTAATCCTAGCAATTACATCTACCCTCTCACGCATTGTTTTCGTGCAAATTAATTAATTTGTTCGCAATCTCGCAAATCTATTATTAAAGTATCTCTCGCCGCTTGTCCATGGGATTTGACGGTCTCCATCCGCTTATTAACTTAAGTTTTCATAGCAGTTTCAATATGGTACCGAAGCCGGGCACTGCCCCAGTTCATTCTTCGTGCGCAACCCCTTATATGTCAATTTTCACGCGTCATTTGTAATCCGGCTTGCACGTGAGATAGGAGTGTTAGAATACCTTCACATCACTTGTCGACGAGATCTATACCCTCTTTATATACACGGGATCTCCCTTCGCTTATCGGTTCGAACTTTTGGATCGGACATTCTGGCAATCACTTTCGGCACGAACCACATATATACCTTAAAATCTTGACTCTTTATGAGTATTTCTTACGTTTCAAATCATATAGCTGTCTCTGGCCAAAACAAAAAATCATATAGCTGTCGATCAAATTGAACTAAGGTTATTATTTTCCGTTAATCAAAATCATGAGTGCATGCGACGCGCGTTGCAATTGTCAACCAAAGTCAAACCTAAAAAGAATGTCGCGTCTCTTCTTTCTAGATCAAAGACAACTTTTCAGATCGAAGCCCCAAAAAAAAATTGGACTTTAATTGCCTTCGTTGCGCGCCAGAACACATCAATATCAACCTCACTTGAAAATTTCGTATCAACTTTATTGTTAATTTCTTTGGATTTTATCACATGTAGTCCAACTTGGAATAGGGTTTCGGCGACAAGTTCAACCGAAAGACTCGGCTAGTGTGGTTCTCCAGTGACAAGACAAAACGAGACTTAAGAGAGAGAGAAAAAAAAGAATTAAGTACTTTAAAAGTAGTCTTGAAACTTATCAAGAAAGTGCAATTGAGTTTTGAAACTTTCAAAAAGTGCAATTAAATTCTAAAAATTATCACGAAAGCGTAATTGAGTCATAAAACTTTCAAATAGTGCAATCGAATCTTAAAACTTGTTAAATTGATTAGATCACGTCCGTCTATTGATTGCACTTTTTAAAAGTTTTAGAGCTCGATCGTACTTTCATGACAAGTTTTAGATCTTAATTGCACTCTTGAAAGTTTTAGAATTCGATTGCACTTTTCATGACAAGTTTTAAGATCTTATTCCAAAAAGGAATAAAGTTCTTAAAATATTCTGTTTATGCCCCATTACAAGTCTTTAATTCGGATTCGGGCCCAAATGCGATTTTTTCTCTATCATAATCTGGACCGGCTTCATGATATGGAGTCACATGAATTGCTGCTCCACCTCCCTGATTTGTTCTTATCAAGTTTCCCGAATCGAATACATCAAACTACAACAAGAAATCGACATTTCGAGTAAGAGGTGTAACAATAGAAACCCATCACGAAAGGAGAAATGCTTTATCTAGATCCGCTCCCTTTTCATCCACCGATTCATCAATTTTCTTCTACGAATCCATGTGAAACATGCGTAGGAGCCCTTGACTGGAATAGAGATTTCGTCCCATGCATGAAGCACGCATCGCGTAACTATTTGGTCTATCAAGCAGGGGGGAGCTTCCATAGTCTCTCGTGGGACCAAGCCCCCGTTGATCATTATTCTTGAACTAGGTTTGGAGTTCAACAGTGTCAGGGACTACCCGACATGTTACAGCGAGGTTATCTACTTCGGTCCGAGCTAATCGGTGTCATTATGTTGTAAGACCCAAGCAAAAGGATTTCCCTATTCACCAACATTCCATGGCACTCATTTGTTGACTTGGCATGCATGCATGTGCATCCCATGATCAACAAAAACCAGAAACCCTAACTAGATACTCTCTCCCTCTCTCTACACAAAGCGACATGGAGGGAGGTTAGTGAAATATGCTTTGATTCTCATTGGTCAGAAAAGGGAGCTGGTAACCAAACTTTCCCACCAATATTTTGTACAAAGAAAGGTGGTGGACCCTTTTCTTTTTTGAAAAACAAAAGTCCTCCTCCATGGAAAAGCAAGAGGCTGCCCTTTGACTATTCCGAGACCAATACTCTCTCACTTTAATCCCCCCAAAAAAAACATATATATATTATATAAAAAAAGACCAATTCTATCACTACTTACAAGCTTTACAACAAAATCAAACAAATGTTTATAATAAAAACAATAAAATAATAAATAAAACATTCACTTGAGCTCACCATCATCAACCTCCTTAGTGCCCTGAGCAAGACAAGTGTACAGTCGTCGAGCTCTTTTTATTTACATGACGGTGGGATCGTTTAAGTATCCCGGGATAAACCTCTTTATATACTTATGTTTTCCTCCATCTAATAGCCCGAGTTTTTCGGGCTGAACATTCTCGAAACACAGAGATCGAAGTCGGGGTTTTGCTCCGGTTTATTATAGATTTTCGAGGAGTAAAAAAAAAAAAAAAAGCATATAGGAAAGTTCCAAGATGGTAAATCCAAAATGGAAATGGGAATGGAAATACGACAATGGGGCGCCGGAACTTTATGTCCCATCCGAGGTGTTATTTTGTCTTTAATCATGCTTAGCTTTCTTAGGTTTAACCTGCATTTCCAGAATATTTATTGTTTTTGCAGGCTATAGAGCATAGTCTCTAGGGAAAATGATCAAAACCACACCCCCGATGCCCAACTAAACCAACTCCCACTTCCCAACATTTGTTTTTTTGTCGTGGAATATATCAGATCGATTGACTCTTTGCAACGTTCGTTTTAGCTTTCCTCTGTACATAATTTATAATTTATGTCGCCGAAT